TCTATCTATCTATCATCTCACTCTTTCTCTACATATATTTATATATATTCTTTCCCTTAAAGGGCTGGACTGGATGGCCTCTGGGGTTCCCTTCTAACTATAGGATTTTATCATTCATCTATCTCTTTATCTCTCTACTTACCTACTCTCTTTCTCTCTCTTTATGTGTGGATTCCCTCTTCCCTTCCTCTTTGGCTGTTCAATGAGGGCATGGGCTTGATGGGCTCCTGCCTTGACCCCCCCCCCCCAGCCCCTCTCCCCAAATATCATCCCCATCACTTTCCCTTTGGTCCCTTTAAGATTGCAGCTGCCTCATTGTCTGCAAAGGCGGCCAATCAGGGGCTGAGCTGTCAGTCTGGGCGAGGGGCCCTGATTGGCTGCCAGGCCTGCCAGGCCCCCCTTGGGCCCTCCCCCCTCCCCTCTTGGCCCAGGTAGAGCCCCCTCCCTCCCGCTGTCCCTGGTGCTGAAGCCCCTGGACCACCCTCAGCATCCTCCGGGAGGGAGCCAAGGAGGCCAGGGGGGCCCCCCGGAGCCTGACTCTCAGCCGGGATGAGCGGAGGGGTCTACGGAGGAGGTAGGAGGAGGGGGAGGAAGGGGCTCCAGGGGGGGTCGGCTCCCCCCTCCCTGCCCACAGCATCCCCCCCCCAGCCCTGAGGAGGAAGCGCCTGGCCTTGGACACCCCGGTGTCCAGCAAAGGGGGCCAGACCAGGCTGGGGGACCCTGGCCCATATTGACAACTCTAGGCTGGGCCAAATAAGGGGCAGGGGGTACGGCAAGACCCACCCAGGCCTCTCCCCTTGATAGAACCCCAAAAGGGGAAGGAAAGCCCAGTCCAACGCCCAAAAAAAAGATAGGCAGACACATGGATGGATGGATGGATGGATGGATAGATAGATAGGTATTAGGTAGTTGACAGATAGATGAGAGAATCCTAGAGTTGGAAGAGACCCCCAAGGGCCATCCAATCCAGCCCCTTAAGAGATAGATAGATAGATAGATAGATAGATAGATAGATAGATAGATAGATAGATAGATAGGTATTTGGTAGTTGACAGATAGATGATAGAATCCCAGAATCCTAGAGTTCGAAGGGAACCCTAAGAGCCATCCAATCCAGCCCCTTAAGAGATAGATGATGGAATCCCAGAATCCTAGAGCTGGAGGAGACCCCCAAGGGCCATCCAGTCCAGCCCCTTAAGAGAAAGGTAGATAGATAGATACAGAAAGACAGAGGGATAGATTGCAGAATCATAGATGATAGAATCCTAGAATCCTAGAGTTGGAAGAGACCCGCAAGGTCCATCCAGTCCATCCCATTAAGATAGATAGATAGATAGATAGATAGATAGATAGATAGATAGATAGATAGATAGATAGACAGACAGACAGACAGACAGACAGATAGACAGATAGGCTGAGAGATAGATGATAGAATCCCAGAATCCTAGAGAAGGAGGAGACCCCCAAGGGCCATCCAGTCCAGCCCCTTAAGAGAAGGGTAGGTAGGTAGGTAGGTAGGTAGGTAGAAAGATTGATAGATAGATAGATAGATAGATAGATAGATAGATAGATAGATAGATAGATAGATAGATAGAGAGACAGAGAGATAGAGAGACAGAGAGACAGAGGGATAGATGATAGAATCCCAGAATCCTAGAGCTGGAAGAGACCCCCAAGGGCCACCCAACCCAGCCCCTTAAGAGAAAGGAAGGAAGGAAGGAAGGAAGGAAGGAAGGAAGGAAGGAAGGAGAAGGAAGGAAGGAAGGAAGGAAGGAAGGAAGGAAGACAGGGAGAGAAGGAATGAAAGAGAGATCAGAGCTGGAAAGAAATTCGTCCAGTGATTTTTGAGTTATGTTTTTTGAGCATGAGATATCGATAGATAGATAGATAGATAGATAGATAGATAGATAGATAGATAGATAGATAGATAGATAGACAGACAGACAGACAGACAGAGGGATAGATGTTAGAATCCTAGAATCCTAGAGCTGGAAGAAACCACCAAGCGCCAACCAGTGGATTAGATAGCTAGGTAGTTGATAGATTATAGAATCCTCGAGTTGGAAGAGACTCCCAGGGGCCATCAGGTCCAACCCCTTAAGAGAAAGACGGACGGACGGACGGACAGACAGACAGACAGACAGATAGATAGATAGATGATAGAATCTTAGAATTGGAAGAGATTCCCACAGGCTGTCCAGTCCAATCCTTTAAGAGAAAGATAGAAAAATGGAGAGAGAGACATGATAGAATCCTAGAGTTGGAAGAGTCTTCCAAGGGCCATCTAGTCCAACCCTCTAAAATAGATGACAGATTCATAGATAGATAGATAGATAGATAGATAGATAGATAGATAGATAGACAGACAGACAGACAGACAGACAGACAGACAGACAGACAGAGATAGATAGATAGATAGATAGATAGATAGATAGATAGATAGATAGATAGACAGATAGATAGATAGAATTCTAGAGTTGGAAGAGACCCTCAGAGGCCATCCAGTCCAACCCCTTAAGAGAAAAATAGACACATGTATATATAGAAAGAGAAATATGGAGGATGGATAAATGGATAGATAAGTATAGATAGATAGATAGATAGATAGAAAGATAGGATGATGGATGGATGGATGGATGGATGGATAGATAGATAGATAGATAGATAGATAGATAGATAGATAGATAGAAGGATGGATAAATGGATAGATGGATGGATGGATGGATAGATGGATGGATGGATGGATGGATGATAGATAGATAGATAGATAGATAGATAGATAGATAGATAGATAGATAGATGGATGGATGGATGGGAAAGGTAGGTAGGTAGGTAGGTAAGTAGGTAGGTAGGTAGAAGGATAGATAGATAGAAATGAGATAGATAGATGGATGGATGGATGGAAATGGATTAATGGATGATAGATAGAGAGATAGATAGATGATGATAGATAGATAGATAGATAGATAGATAGATAGATAGATAGATAGATAGATAGATAGATGAGGATTGCTGCTTACATGGAATAGGGATCTCCAAGATACCTCAATATAGATAATAGATAGATAGATAGATAGATAGATAGATAGATAGATAGATAGATAGATAGATGGATAGATGAATGGATGGATGGATTTATTTATTTATTTATTTATTTATTTATTTCATCGTTTTCTATACCGAGCTTCTCAACCTCATTGAGGGACTCAGCCCTCATTGAGGGACTCAGCCCTTGAGGGACATGGATGGATGGATGGATGGATGGATGGATGGATGGATGGATGGATGGATGGATGGATGATAGGCTCCTGGAGTTGGAAGAGACCCCCAAGGGCCATCCAGTCCAGCCCCTAAGAGAAGGAAAGACAGAAAGGTGGACAGACAGATAGCTATCTCTAGCATCATGGGATTATGGAAGCCTAGAGGTGAAAGAGACCCACAGGGCCATCCAGTCCAGCCCTTTAAGAGAAAGGTAGACACATTTATAGAAAGAGAGTAAGAGAGAGTAGATAGATAGGTGGATGGATGAAACAAACCTAGAGTTGGATGAGACCCCGAGGGGCCATCCATTCACCCCTCTAAGAGGAAGTCTGATGAAGATGAGGGGATTGTTATTCTAGATTCTAGGAGAGTTGATGCATTTTCAGTGAGGGAAATGAGGGGAGTTTAGATGCCGTCTGTTAGAATGGGCTTGAAAGTGAAACAAACAGGGAGATGCAGTGGCTGGCAAAGACTTTTCGCCTAGTCGTCTCATAGCAACCCCAGATAAGGAATTGGGTGGGCAAGAAAGTTGACCTGAAAACACACCTGCGGACAGCAGGAGTATCAGGTTTCATCTTAGGTAAGAAGCAATCAAACTAAGGAGGTCACAGAGACTCCATGAGAAATCTGACAGGCAAGGGAGCCAAGGTCACAGGCATGACTTCATGGTTTTTGGTCCTTAAATCAGAGAATTGCTTCCTTTAACGTTCAGATCAGGCAACACTGCATTACAGTGAGGATCGCAAGTCTTGTTCCAAGTTCATGTTTTAATCTAAGACTTTGGGAATTTGGAATCAAGTATTTAAGAAGTTCTTGTAGTCTTGGTTTTGGATTCATGCTCATGTTTTCATTCTTGTTATCCTGGATATATGCTCATGTTTTGGTTCTGGTTCTTCCTATAGCTTGTTTGATGGAACAGATTTGGACTGTTTGGATTGTTGCCTTTGGAATGTTTTTTCCATTGCCAGTGTGGTTTGGCTTATTACTTGTTGACTGTTTTTCCCCATTACCTTTTGGATTTTGCCTTTCTTATTTCCTGTGGTGATTTTTATATGTGTTTTACTCAATAAACTTCCTTTCAGACAGGAAGACACAATTGAAGCCTTCCAGGCAAATGGCCATCGCCATAGATATTATATATAGAAGATAGATATTATAGAAGATAGATAAATAGATAGATGGATATAATAGAATGCTATAGTTGGAGGAGATCCCAAGGGCCACCCAGTCCAGCCCCCTTCTGCCAGTCAGGAAGACACAATCAAAGCCTTCCTGACAGATGGCCATCAAGCCATAGAGGTATAAATGGATGGATAGATGGATATAATAGAATCCTATATTGGAGAAGACCCCAAGGGCCATGCAGTCCAGCCCCCTTCTGCCAGTCAGGAGGACACAATCAAAGCCTTCCTGACAGATGGCCATCAAGCCATAGAGGTATAGATGGATGGATAGATGGATATAATAGAATCATATAGTTGGAGGAGGCCCCAAGGGCCACCCAGTCCAGCCCCCTTCTGCCAGTCAAGAGGACACAATCAAAGCCTTCCCGACAGATGGCCATCAAGCCATAGATATTATAGATGGATGGATAGATGGATATAATAGAATGCTATAGTTGGAGGAGACTCCAAGGGCCACCCAGTCCAGCCCGCTTCTGCCAGTCAGGAAGACACAATTGAAGCCCTCCTGACAGATGACCATCAAGCCATAGATATTATAGATGGATGGATAGATGGATATAAGAGAAACCTATAGTTGGAGGAGACCCCAAGGGCCACCCAGTCCAGCCCCCTTCTGCCAGTCAGGAAGACACAACCAAAGCTCTCCTGACAGATGGCCATCAAGCCATAGATATTATAGATGGATGGATAGATGGATATAATAGAATCCTATAGTTGGAGGAGACCCCAAGGGCCACTCAGTCCAGCCCCTTTCTATCGGTCAGGAAGACACAATCGATGCCTTCCCGACAGATGGCCATCAAGCCATAGATGTTATAGATGGATGGATAGATGGATATAATAGAATCCTATAGTTGGAGGAGACCCCAAGGGCCACTCAGTCCAGCCCCTTTCTATCGGTCAGGAAGACACAATCGATGCCTTCCCGACAGATGGCCATCAAGCCATAGATGTTATAGATGGATGGATAGATGGATATAATAGAATCCTATAGTTGAAGGAGACCCCAAAGGCCACCCAGTCCAGCCCCCATCTACCAGTCAGGAAGACACAATCGAAGCCTTCCCGACAGATGGCCATCAAGCCATAGATGTTATAGATGGATGGATAGATGGATATAATAGAATCCTATAGTTGGAGGAGACCCCAAGGGCCACTCAGTCCAGCCCCTTTCTATCGGTCAGGAAGACACAATCGATGCCTTCCCGACAGATGGCCATCAAGCCATAGATGTTATAGATGGATGGATAGATGGATATAATAGAATCCTATAGTTGAAGGAGACCCCAAAGGCCACCCAGTCCAGCCCCCATCTACCAGTCAGGAAGACACAATCGAAGCCTTCCCGACAGATGGCCATCAAGCCATAGATGTTATAGATGGATGGATAGATGGATATAAGAGAATCCTAGAGTTGGAGGAGACCCCAAGGACAACTCAGTCCAGCCCCTTTCTACCGGTCAGGAAGACACAATCGAAGCCTTTCTGACAGATGGCCATCAAGCTTTTAGCATTAGCTCTCCCTCCTGAAATTGCAATTTTGGAAATGTCTCTGGCTTCCTCCTCAGATGAAGTCGGCGCCCTCGTTTTCGACATCGGCTCCTTCTCCATCCGGGCGGGCTATGCGGGAGAAGACTGCCCCAAGGTAGGTGCCCAGGTGTCCATCAATAGATAGATAGATAGGTATTTCTGACTGTGTGTCTTGGACTTCAACTCCCACTATTCCTAACTGCCTACCAACTGTTAGGAAATGTGGGAGTTGGAGTCCAAAATACCTGGAAGGCCCAAGTTGGCCCATACCTGCTTTATGGTCTCTTTCAGGCGGACTTCCCCACCACCGTGGGCCTGCTTTCCCACGACGAGTCGGCCATGGAGCTGGAAGGGGACAAGGAGAACAAGGCCGGGAAGGTCTACTACATCGACACCAACTCTTTGCACGTCCCGCGGGAAAACACAGAGGTCATCTCACCGCTCAAGAACGGGATGAGTACGGAGCCTTTACGGGGGGAGAAAGGCTTTGGGTCTCTGCATTGGAATTAATTCTGGCCTGGGCCAACTTTGGCCCTCCCTCCAGGTGTTTTGGACTTCAACTCCCACAATTCCTACCAGCCTACCGGCTGTTAGGAATTGTGGGAGTTGAAGTCCAAAACACCTGGAGGGCCCAAGTTTGGCCTGCATTGGAGTGAATGTTATGTCTTTTGCAAGCCTTGAAATGCATTGTGTGGCAATTTCTTTCACAGTCATGGGATGGCGCTGTTGTACAACTTAGGCAACCTAGCTCACCTTTTTGGGTCAAATTGCCTTGCCGTAATTAGGATGCGCGTTAGATTAGTCTAATACAGGGATCCTTTCCATTCTAGAGATGAGAATCCTCTGTGTGTGTGTATATGTATATCTATATATATATATATACACAGAGAGAAAGAGAGACAAACACACACTATATTTTTGTATTCAAAAGGATAAATGGTCTTCATGTGATGTTAGGGGTGCATGATTCCATCCAATGCCACCATCCAATGCTTTCTTGTTGACCTTTCCCTCTTTCTCTTCCTTCCTTCCTCCCTTCCTTCCTTTCTTCTTTCCTCCTTCCTTCCCTCTCTTCTTCCTTCCTTCCTTCCTTCCTTTCTTTCCTCCTTCCTTCCTTCCTTCCTTCCTTTCTTTCTTCTTCCATCATCGAAACCGGGTATTTGCGAATGAAGGGAGGATGTGGACTGGCTGGTGCATCGGCAGGGGTACTCCACCTCCCTCCCGCCCTTCTTTAGTTCTTCCTGCTGGTTTCGTGCGTTTCGTCGGTGCATCCTGCCGGCGTCCTTGCCTCAAGTCTTTCGCCCTCTCCTCTCCCCTTCCTCCCTTCCTCCTCTTTGGCTTTCCTTTCTTCTCTCTTTCTTCCCTTTCTCCCTTCCTTCTATCTTTCCTTCTCTCATGTCGATTTATTCCTTCCTTTCCTCCTTCCTACTTTGTTTCCCATCCTTTTCTCTTCCTTTCTTCCGTCCTTGACGTGCATTGGTGAGTTCCCACGTACTTCGACGACATGCAAACCAGTACTTCTTTCTTTCCTTCTTTCTTTCTTTCTTTCATTTCTTTCTTTCTTTCTTTCTTTCTTTCATCTCCCTCCCTCCTTTTCTTTCTTTTTCTTCCTTTCTTTTCTTCTTTTCTTTCTTTCTTTTCCTTCTTCCTCCTTCTCCCTCCTTCTTCCTCTCCTTTCTTCTTCCTTTCCTTCCTCCCTTTCCTTCCCTTCCTCCCTTCCTTTCTCCTTCCTTCCTTCCTTCCTTCCAGTTGAGGACTGGGGCTGCTTCCAGGCCATCCTGGACCACACCTACAACAAGCACATCAAGTCGGAGCCCAACTTGCACCCGGTGCTCATGTCTGAAGCTCCGGTAGGTACCCAGCCTTATGGCGTCGATTCCATCATTGTTATTGTTATTCTTTTCGTCATCATTGTCATCCTCCTCAGAACCGAATGGCCAATGTCTCTTCCAATGTTGTGAATCTGTATTCTTGCAATTGCCGTTATTGTTGTCGTCCTTTGGAATATGAGTTTTAAGTGCATTCTTAACTGTCCAGAAGGTCTTGAATGCCAGGCAGCTGGCCGTGCTGACCTTCCTCTGTGTTCCTGAACAACGTTTCCTCTCTTTCAGTGGAACACGAGGGCCAAGCGGGAGAAGCTGACGGAGCTGATGTTTGAGCATTACGGCATCCCGGCCTTCTTCCTCTGCAAGACCGCGGTGCTGACGGCGTATCCTTCTGTGCAGAGAAAAGGAATAAGCCACCGGTCATATGTCAAGCATTCCTTCGTTTGCAAATAGAAAGGACACTGGAGCCTTGCTTTTTCTCCTGGCACCACAAAAGGGAGATTTATCTTCTTCTTCTTCTCCAGTGGCAGGAGGTTCCAGTGGAAAGAAAAACAAATGGGTTGCTGTAAGTTGTTTGTGCTCTCTGGCCAAGCTCCAGA